TGGTGAAAGGTTTAGTTTTGCTTTCTGAGGCCTCCATAACAGTCATCAGGGGGATGACAGGAAGGACAGCAAAGAAGGAGTGTGTGGCACTTCCCTTCTCAGCAGGAGGCATGTGCATACCTGCATCCCTACACCTCCCCAAGGCCCAGCCTCCATCCTCCCACAGGATCTTGTGCCACATATAGTTGCTGCTCATGGGATGGAGAGATGCCTCAGAAGGATTGCTGTGGAGTTCCTTGGAGAATTGCAGAAAGGTTTACATCTGGTGGTCTTAAGCCCAACTACAATCTCCAAGGACAGAGATCTCCCCTCTTCTCTGGTGCCTGTCCCAGACCTGCACTACTCTAATAAAAAGAGATTTTTTTCCATGTGTCCAACGAGAATTTTCCCTGTGGAAATCTGTGCCTATCATCTCTTGTCTTTTCCCCATGGACCTTAACAATAGCATGTGTCTCTCTCTCCCACGTAAACCTGTGGGACAGTGGACTGGATGACAGCAGCCTGGTACCCTCTTGACCTTCTCCTCCCCAGGCTGAACAAGCCCAGCACCCTTCTCTTCTTCCCCTTACTGTTTATTTAGCTGTGCGTACCCTCTCAGACATCAAAGTATTTTTCTCCTTTTTTGCCACATCTCCCTTGTGCAGTTATCTCCTAAATGCCTCTCCTGTTGTTGGTCACTCAAGTGCAAAAGGATTGCTTCTGACCACTTTCAACAAGAAAGTGAACCTCCCTGATGAAGCAGCCCAGACACCCAGCCAACATCCCACCATCAAGATCAATGGAATTGTGCTGCACAGAAGTGGTAATCCCCTGAAAAAGCTCACTTAAACTCCGCGTAGATCTCCTTGGTCTTTTATTTCTGTCCTTCTCAGCTCCTCTTGCTGGTGCTTAGCTCTGAAGAGACACACGGCTCTCAGGGCAGCAGGCTGCATTACCATCCTGAGAACACTCTGTCTCCAGCAGATCCTCTTTCCAGTCTCCACTTGCGTGAGCTGTTGAGTGGTTAAGTGTGGATTCAAGCCTCCTTGTCATAGCTGGCTAGGCAGGCATTTCGCTGGCGACACCGGGTGCATCCTGCTGGAGAGGTGAAGGCCCTTGAGTCGACTGGAGTGGGGGAGCACTCAGACCTCAGGGGCTTCTCTTTTCCACTGTGCTTGACTTCAAACTGTGCTGTGGCCTTAATCACACACGGCTTTTGTCTGTGACACAGTAAGATACAGTGTGAGACACGGCCTCTCCTGGACCACAGAAGGACTGTTAAGACTGTTTATCTACAGCTGCTTCTCCAGGATGAACCACAAAACATACCCTAGTTAGTGAATAGGACGATTTGGCAACAAGTTGAGGGCAACTAGTTTCTGCTGAAATATCTGGAAACCCCCACTGCCACATGGACCAGGCCTCCAAAGGCTATGGTTCTCCATGATAACATGCTATAACAAACTATCATGATGCATCCTAGCAAGCTAGGTACGAGGCTGCTAAAGACTGTACGCCAAAAAATTCCAGGTAGTTGCTGATGCCAGTCTCATGTCCAGACAAATCAGTGGGAAAACCTGAGAAAGACATTTTAATGTGAAAACCGTGCCTTTCTCATCACTTTTTTTATGCAGGCCACGTTTTGTGTTGCTTGATTGTCCAAGGAAAGAAAAGCACCGAATATTCAGTGAGTAGATCTAATGTGAAAAACGGGATTTGGGGGGTGCTTGAATGCAATTGAATAGGGAGGCAGACATGCTCTGCAGCGTGTTGTGGGTGTAAGAGGTAGTTGCTGCAGGTTTCTTGCACATGCTGCGGAGAAGGTGGTGCAGGACTACAATGCATTACAGAGGAACACTGCTCTTCTGGCTTCTCTGTTTCCTAGGCTCTGTCCTCTTTTCTGTGGTGGTTATTTTTTTTTTCATTTTGTGACTTCAGGAAAGAAACTTTCTTTGAGAAGGTCTTGAAAACTCAGAAACATGGACATTTCTAAACTTTCCAGTTAAATATTTACTGTCCCAGACAGAAAATGCTTCATTCACCAATAGTCTGAATGCCCCCACCTGGAAAAGAGTTACAGAGCCTCAGAGATCTTTCAGCAAACAAATTCCTTCTCATTACTGACTCTGTGGGCATGACTGCTCTCAGAAAACTTGAAAGTCAAGCTGCTCAGGAGTGCTGCCCATACATGTTTACCTTGTACTCCAGCTTCCCTCTTCAGACTAAATCAGGTACTTTTTGTCTGGTTTGCCTAAACAAGTACAGCCGAGGAACAAATGCTGGAGCATTCCTCGGGGTTCAGCCAGGCTAGCCCTGGGTTTCTGACACTCATTTCTGTATGATTCCTGTAAACTCCAGGTTAACCAGCAACACCTGCACGCTCCTCAGCACCACACAGAGATATCAGAAATGCTTGTATATGTGTATTTTTATGTGTTTTTTTAATGTTATTTTTTATTCTTGACCTTACTCCTACACCTTGCTTCAGGCTTGTTCTCTCACCTGAAGTACTGCTGACATCTGCAAAAAACTACTTTTTAACCCGAGGTCAGACTGTGGGCTGCCCTGCCTGCGGAAGCAGGCATCTTAGGCCTTGAACTTGAGCTGCCTGTCTCTGAGAGACCATGGGGCTAAGCTGGAAGTTGCAAAGGTGGCCATGAAGGGCAAACCATTTCTGTTGCAGCCTGGACTGGTCCTGTCAGGGCTTCACAGGAAGGAGCACAACCCCGTGGTTTCCACAGAGGTCTGGTCACCATCCCCTGAGCATAACAGGCTGAAAGACGCTGCATTCAGCAGGAATAAATAACTTTGCAGTGTGCTGGGTGGAGGACATGACTGCAGTGTGATGAGAATATTCAGAATATTGAATGCGAGAACTGAAATCAGTGCCTGGGCTAAATGGGCTAAAACCACCCACACCCCAGCTAGTGAACTTGTGAGCAGTGAGTGTGCTGCGTGTTAACAGTTTCAGTGTAATTTCAAAAACTGATAGCAAATGTTTGTCTCTCTCAGCAATCCAGTGTATTTCATTCCTCAGATATTAAGTTGTACTGACATATTTCACAGCATCACAGGGAGAGCCTGTGTATACTTCTGCTCAAATGATTACTAGAATTCATACCTGATATGATTACTGTGCTATTGGCTGGCTGGAGTACTCCTTGGGAGAGATCTGGCCTACAGATTTTCTAGCATTGCTCAACAGATTTTGCAGCATTGCTCCACAGTTAACATATGGAGCTTGTACCTATACTGGAAAGCAAACGGCAACACTGCAAGCAGATAGTCATGTACCTAAGCCAGACAGGTTTCTGTGCAGCTGATCAGTACTTGGAGCCACAGCATCATGACTTCCATGGTCAATGCCTTTTGAAGGAATGAATGCAAGAGGATTTTGTCAGTAAAAAGATAATAAAGGCTGGGGGAGGTGGGAGTAAGAGAGAGGAAGCCAAACTAATAAAGGAGAGAGTGGACACATAACAGAGAGGTAGCATGCTTTATGTACATATTTGTTCAGTATTGGGAGGGGGATCAGTATGGAGGGTGTCAGATGAAGGTGCTGCCTAAGTGCCAGGATGAAATCCTGCCTCTAAGTATCATTTTCTAACCTGTACAGAGTCCGGATGTCCATCACCAGTTGACCACAAGGTCCTCTTCTGCCCGCACTCCTGCTGCTTAATACCTTGCATGGCAAACAGCACTTCTTTGCCATATGGGCTCCTGCAGTTCCCTCTTCAACATGGGAGAGGACATGAGCCATCATTGCAGAGACCAGTTCTAGTCTGTATGAACAGACTGGTACATAAAGCCATAGAAGTATTAGAGTATCTCCAGAAAAATCTTTGTGTTCTCAGGGTGGCCACAATTCCTGTGCACACATCGGGGTGGAAGCAGACATCATTTGTTGGCAGACTGAAGAGAGATCAGTGCAAGGCCACGGAGATGGTGGGTGGGTCTGGTGCACCTGACAGAGAGAGGGGAGATGGAAGGAATCAGGCTGTTAGCATGGAGAAGGGATGCCCCAGGAAAGCCCTAATTGCAGATATCCACTGACTTACAGTTACCAACTTCTCTCAGAAGTTCACAGGGATATCTTGTTTCAAAAAGTCTTGTTTTGACCCTTGTCATAAGGGACAAAAGGGACACATTGCAGCATGGGAAATTCTGTTTGTACATAAGGAGTAAAACAACAGTAGTACAGCCCTGGGGCAGGGCCAAAAGGGGTGGTGGGGTGTCCAATGCTGGATATGTTCAAAATTTAGCTGGTCAAGGTGCTGACCAAACTGACCTTGTTTTGAAGGCAGTTGAGCTTGGAAAGGGGGATGGGAACAAAGACTTTCAGATGTGCCTCCCCACCTAAATGTTTCCATGATTCTATGTGCACAGCCTGCAGCTCCCAGACATGTGTTAATCATGCCTTAAAAAATAATTTCTGAGTAATCCTGGGGATTATTTACGTGACCCTGCGGCTCGCTCATGTGAGTACCAAGTGTAGGACTTGCTCTTAATTGAAGAGCTAAATATACATCAGCAGCCCAACAGGATTACTCAGTCTGCAGCAGAGTCTGTTAAATTGGCATGTGTGCTTCCCATTCATTCCTTTCAGATGTTGCTCTGATATAGCATTTTCTGCAACACTGTGTAGCTACATAGAAGAATGATTGAAATAGGCAATTTTCCATGTTTTTCTGGTAGTAAGGAAGGTCAGATCTACTTTCAATATGTGTTTCAGGTTTGTTTCATGTCAGGTTAGAGAAGTGCTATAAATCAAGTGTTACATCACTGACCCCCTGTTGATCTCTATTATCAAAATGTTTGTACACACATGCAGGAATCCATAGTTCACCTTTATTGGTCCTTTGTGATTTCTTGGGATTGGGTCTTCTCAGCATGTCTGCAGCCAATTTTTCTGTCTCAGCTTTTATGGACCAGGAAAGCCACTTTAATTTTAAGCAGGTTGGTTATCTCACTCTTATGCATCACAGATTTTCCCTTACCCACTCTCACACATGTGTTCACAGGCACGGAGCAATCTGGTCAGGATCACTTGGGATGGCACAGTGGATGAGGGACACCAGACACCAAGTTTTTCATTGAGTCTCCTGCAGCCCCTATTGGGGTACCTCTTGGTAAGTTGGTTTTTGGGCAGGTCTTGTATATACTCTCCAGGATACAGGTGTTGCTACAGGGGGACAGTCTTGCCTCAGCACTCTGTTTTCTTTCAGCATCATTTTTCCTTGGTTTGGATTTCATGAAATATCAGAAAGAGGCAGGACAGAAGTGTGTTCTGAGCCCTGGTTGCCATCCTCTTGTTGTCAGGGCATACAGTCTCTTGTTTGTAAGTCACCACCTGATCTCAGCACAGACCTCCTGGGCATGGCACAAGAAACTGTGTTCCGTCAAAACAAATTCTCCACTTCAACTTTAGGCCTGCTACAAGAGTCCTATGAAATGCAATTAAAGGAGCTCAGAAAAATTCAGATTGGAAGGCATCTTCAGAGCTCACTGTTCTAATAATCTGCTCCAAGCATGGCTGACCACAAAGCTAGATCGGGTTATCTCCAGCGATGGAGATCCCACCATCTCTCTGGTCTGCACTGTGCTTGTGTGATGATTTCATCTCTGTTTTCTCTAAAATTCTCTTGGATTGAATCTAATTCAGGGTGCTACCTGATCAGTGCCATTATGCAGTGCAGAGGCACTTCCCTCCACTGGCTTTCAAGGGCCCCCCAGGCCCTGACCAGCCACCAAGTTCACAGCTGACATGCCTTGCTGTTCACCAGGATTGCATCCCTCCTGTCCAGGGCAAGGGCCCCATTCACTGCTGGGCTTCTCACAGCCATGGGCTGAACACATACTTTGCTCAGACTGTGCTCCAGGAGGTTCATGGCACTCCATTTCTGCAGCCTGTTGAGGCCCCTCTGAAGAGCTGTGCTCCCCTCCAGCTGCTCCCCCAGTGTGGAACAATCACAGCACCCTACATCCCCTCTTCTGTGTTGTTGCAAAAGATTTTAAAAATATTTGCCTGGCATTAACAGTTGAGAAATGTAGCTGTCTGCCAGCTACTCTTACTGATGGACCTCTGTCCTTGAACCTGACAGCCCACCCAGTTTTCCAGTCATTTAACAGTTCACCTGCAAAGTCCATGATTTCATCTATTTAGCTTCAACAATAACGATATAAAAAACTCCAAAATAACTTTTGCCAGAAGACTTCCCTTCCTAAAACACTGTCATGTGCAGACAGAAACTTTGTTTTTTTGTCAGTTTGATCCTTTGGTGCCGGCCCAGCCTAGGGATCAACACACTGGTTTTGTGCCTGCCATCTGAACACCCTATTATTGTAATAAACTACACCCACTCATCATTTAGTACTGGCACCAGCAAAAGGGGTTTGTCATATGCGAAAACTAGCAGGGAAATCCATCTTTTGTAAACTCCTAGCATTAGAAATATAACACATTGTTGATCAGACAATAAAACAGATATTGTGAAGGAAAGGGACTGACAGTGCCCTGTAAACATAGTTTTACTTATTAGAAAAAAAAGCGGCATTAATGCTTTTATTATCTTGGGACAAAAAGTGAGCTACTGGAAGGAGTTACAGGCGGCAAAGAAACATGGCTTTATCTGCAGGTTGGGTGTGCTTTAATCTGACATCCTGACAATGCTGTATGGTGAGTAATACCTAGAGTATGTCTGCCAAACCTCTAGAGCCAAAGCACAGAGTCTACCTGTCACTCCAAAAAGGCCCAAATGAATAGCAGGACGCTAATCCCTCGGGCACCACATTGCCTGATGCATCTGTTTGCTACAGTAGGGAGGAGATGATGCTTCCTTTCAGATTACTGCAGGTGTGGAGCTCCCACACACAGCGAAAAACAAAAAACGCACCGCTGCAAAGCTTTCTGGTAATGGCAAGTAACATGCTTAAACTCCCAGGACACTTGCAATTCACTGTTGCAGAACTAAAACTTACTTACCTTTCTCAGGATGACCCCATACCTCCATGTATTTTGAAGTCTGCTTTGCTATGATGAAGCATTAGGTGAGAAGCTTGGACATCGTTTCTCTGCATGCTTCCCTAAAACCTTACCTGTTTTTACAGGAAAAAAGCATTTAACTGACAAATCCATGAATAGCTCATATAACTAAGGGACACTGTTAAGTTATTAGATCTGAACCAGTAAGTGCCTTTTCCAAATAATTTATACGAAAATTTTTATTTTTATTTTACAGGAAATGTGTCTGGAATTGTTTTTACACCACAATAAAAGTTAAAAGAGGAAGTATTTGGTCTTTTCTGGAAGTCATTACTGTGTTCATATTGATGCTTATGGAGCAGGAAATAGTACCCTCTCAATCAGTATTTCAAAGAATCCTTTACAGAAGTTCCTGAAAACACCCAGCATCACCTTCCTCCTGAAGGTGTCAGTTCAGCTGGGCTTTTTCTATCAGCTTCTCACTTCAATCACCTTCATTTCCTTAACTAGCTGTGAGCTCTGTGTGATCTACCTGAATAGCTTGGAATGTCTGCTAGTAGATCAAGGCTGTGGATTTCACCTATTTTGAGAAGACAAACACATCTAGAATGTATCTAGAATGTATCTAGAATGACTAGAATGACTCCATTGCAAATTAAACAATGAAAATAAGCACTTGTCTGTGAGAACATTCTTGGTTATGTCACCTTAGACACAGTATTGTCCTATCAGTTTTGCAGCTGAGAAAAGAAGCACATTTTTGGAAAAGTGTTCACAGATGAATAAAATGAAACAATTGTCTTAGTCACTGCATGGGTACAATGGATTTCAAACCCATTAAATAGCATCAGAGAAGCCTTTTCCACAATTGTTCTCAGGAAAAAAAAAAGCAATTTTAGTGCAGAGTCAGTTTTTTATCTCTGCTTCTTCCACTGCGTGGAATGGCAGGACTTGGATTTGTTTGGATCATTTACTTATTGTCTTGTGTAGAAGAGGTGGAAAGAGATGTCTTTCTGGAGTGTTCAGGCCCATATTTTAAATGGAGTCCTTTCTGCTACCAAATCAATCAAGTGTATATGCTATGACAGTGCAAAACCCTTCAGTGAAAAGAATGAGGCAGGAACATTGTGCCTGCCATCCGGATGAGCCTCCCTGACTTGCTTTACTCCCTAGCAAACCCGTATCTCGGGAGAACAAAAATTTTGAATTCTGCTTTTGGGGTCACAGATTTGAGCTCTGCTGCTTCAGCTGCAAGAAGTGTGAGAGGTGCAAAACTGAGGGTCATCGGCAGACACAAACCTTGAGTGGTTTACCCCTGCTAAACCAAAAGAACTCTCTCTGTTTAGTACTTATTTAGTAGATCAGAAACGACAGGGTGCAAAGGCATTACTGATGAGATGCCACCTTTGGAACTCCACCCTGAAACCAGAAGCATGCTATGCTGTCGTGTGCATGCGGAAAATACCCAGCTTAGCACGGAGCTGCCATATCCTGCCCCAGCTTCAGCTTTCAGAGTGATTTAAGGTGGAGCTCATATGGAGTGGCTGTGATGTTGCATCTCCAGGTGGTAACTGCCCTGCTGCTGATGAAACGCAGTGTCAGCACCTAAAAGTCTGTTGGGCAGTAGGCAGAAAAATCGCTGCTACTCAATGCTATTCAGCCCTCTAGGAACAAGAAAGTCCTTTGCCTGGAGAGCACTGCAGCTGCAAATGCAGACACCCCACAGCTACAAAGCAGATAGGCTTTGTCCCAGCCAACATCCCATGTATCACAGATGGATTAAGCTTTTACTTGTTTCTCTCTTCTAGCCCCCAAGCTTATCCCTGTGCCTGTGTTTGGCAACTGCAGCAGAGCTTGGCACTGCTGGCCATACCTGGAGACAGTGCTGAGCCATGCAAAGAGAAAAGTGGGAGGGTAAGGGGGGAGAAGCAGTGGCTGCCTGGGTCTGTTTCACCATGACTCCCTGCACGCTCCCTCTAACAGGGACACCATCAGCTCTCCTGGCCAAGGAGGGATGTGGCAACTCATTCAATTATTGGCCTCTTGCAGATCAGTGGCTGGCACATGGACTGTGATAACTTCTGGGGTTACATTAAACTTATCACATGCAACAGGTTTAATTGTTGCACTGGAAATATGTCTTGTGCTTATCTCTGGAAGCATTCCTCCTCCCCTCACCCCACCCTCTCCTCCATTTTGAAGATTTAAGTTTCAAGTTCACATCCATCAGTACAAAAAGGAGCAGGACATGCCCTATCATGTCCTGGACACTCCAAGCCAAAAAATGAGGGAGCTGCACCCTTTCCCCCTCACTTAGATTCTTTTATGTGCACTTAAAATATTCACATAAAGCTTTATCACGCCCAAACCATTTCCGAAGCAATGAGCAGTCACATTTACTCTTAGAATTTTGAAGGACTGTAATTCCAGGGTAATTTTACCACTCCCTCTGACAGTCTTTTGTACTTCTGATACTATATGTGTCTCATAAACAAAACAGCCCAGAACATATCAATCACATTATCAGCACAGAGAGGATTACTTAGAAAGGCACTTAGAATTTGCTCTGCACTCCTGGCAAGTCCAATATAGCAGGTAGGCCATCTTACTGTGTAATAGGATTAACACTGATGGAAAAAGTGTTAATACCTTTCTGGTGTTCATATAACCCAATCCTCCTATGAAGTTAAAAATGCATAAAAATAACAGATACTTAAATTGGGTATGTATTTTAAAAAACCTCACAACATTACCTTCAAGTACCTAAACTCACCCATTCCTTCCCCCATTAAAGTTCAAGCTGAAACGGTATTTTCCTTTGAGCAGTCTTCAGGACAATATGCTAGTCTGATTTGTGAGCCCAGAAGTTTTAGTATTCCATGTTTTTTTTCTGCCAGAGTAATGTTTTATTTCAGTGTATTGTGGACCACTAGTTGAAATGGCATAGATTTGAGGCCCAGCACTTCAGGAAAGCCTGTTTTGGGTACATACACACTGAGGATCTCAAGCACCAGAGAATTCAGTCCTTTCTGAATTTTGTAACCACAATGCAAAACAGGCAGTTGAGCTTTAACTCCAGGAGCTAAATAGTTGTAACCAAAAACATGGCATTTGGTTTTTGCCTGCCTAGTTTTCTCCTTGGGCACATAAATGTGAGCACTTTGACAACAATGAAAATAGGCTGAGACACAAAAAGTCATAAAGACAGTGTGATTATGAAATAGTTAAAGTCAGGAGAAAAGCATTACATTCCTTTTAAATACAGGCAAAATTTAATTCAAAAGCCACAGGGAGTATTTTCTTAGCACATGTCTACAGTATTGATAGACACAAGTCATACCCCAGAGACGGAGGCATGTTCCTGGATTGGAAAGTCATCTTCAGGTCCTGAAAGGCTCACAAGGTTCATCTAATTATCATCAGACAACTACGGCAAAAAGCCATGACAAGAGGTATTTCTTGACGGTGTAGCCAGCATAATCTTCTGGAAAAAGCCTTACAGATTTTTGATGTTGATCTGGAAAGTCCAATCCAAACAGCAGCAAGGTTTTCCTTGATGTGCAGAAT